GGCTGCAACCATCCAGGCACATGGAGTTAGGACACAAGTTACACACCACTGTATTCATAGCCTCTGACCTGCTCATCGCTACTGCGTTTACATGGTAAGTCCAATTGAGTTTTTGGTCAATGGCAACCTCAACATGGACAATTCAGTGATGGTACATCATTGAATGTCAAGGGGTAGTGATTAGATTGTCTGACATATGTGTGGTGCAAATGTTACTTGCCACTTGTCAGCCCAAGCCTGGATATTGTCATGATGATGTTGCATTTGAAGATAAAAATAAAAGATAAGTTTAAGATTGTAATCACCAAAATTTGAGCTGTGCTAGAGTGCCATCAGCAGCAGCCCCTTCAGTTACCTTTACAAATGAGAATTACATGGTTAGAAGATTAGTCTGAATATGCTGAAAGATTCACTTCTGTGCATTTGATGCCTAGAAACTTGAAGTTGATAATTGTTGAATAAAAACCAAAAGAACTGCGGATGCTGTAAATCAGGAACAAAAACAAAATTGCTGGAAAAGCTCAGCAGGTCTGGCAGCATCTGTGGAGGAGAAAACAGTTAACGTTTCGGGTCCGGTGACCCTTCCTCAGAACTAGTGGTGGCTGGGAAAACATCAGTTTATATGATAATTGTTGAATTTGAAATAATTTCTTTCAATGAACCTATTGAGGAAATATGTGTTATTGTGATTATATGGCAGTCTTCCCGATACCTTAGTGTTGGAATAGATAAGGAATCTTATGGAAAATCATCTGTAAAGGATTATTTTGTAACCAAATAACCTGCAATCAACTATACCTTTTTTATTCTGCAGATTTATATAAATTTGTTTTTCTAACATTACAAAGATCAATCGTGATATAGAGCCAAGTTTAAAAAAAAAAAAAGTTGAGCAATTCTGTTTTGTTCTGATTCTTTCTTTTCAGGAGGGTCCTTCCCACAGTCAGTCAGGACCCATAAGCTCTTCACAATTTATCTGTCAATCCCACCTGCTGACAGCATTGACAAATACAAGACCTTCCATTAGTCAGCAAGAATGGCGCAACTTTGTAGAACTGTGAGTAGAAATTCTTGCTAAATTAAAGTTGAAAATATAAATCATTAATTACATTGAATTTTAAACAAATATTTATACTACATCATTACAATGAAGCTTGTGTAATATTGTTTTGAATATGGGGAATTTCAAACATAAACAGGTTGTCGTTACTGCATTTATAGTTTCATAATTTTTAATATCATGAGTGAATGTTGATAATCCTGTGAAATTTTAAAATAAAGCACTGCTGAATTGTGAACAGATTTAGGCCATCTTAAGTAACATAAAGCTGGGGTGAAAGCCTAAAACTTCATTCCAAACAGCACTGTTAGAAGCACACCACCATTTCTCTTGGGTAACAAATGCTGGCTTAGCCAGCCACACCCATATCCCCATGAACAAGTTTAAATAAACTTGAAGTGTTAATGAGAGCTGGATGTCATCAGCGTATAGTCAGAAACATATTACGTTGGTGATGAGCATGGGTGGCAGCATCTAGATGAGCCATTGCAGGTGACTGAGGTTAATATTGGATACCTAAGAATGGTACCAAATGAGTGCAGTTCAACCCAGCTGAATATGGAGAGTAGTTATGTCAATTATGACAGAAGCTGCCAACAAATTATTGTTGGTAGATGTGAAAACTTGTTTGGAGGGATTCAGATTCAGCATTCTGGGAAAGATTGGTCTAGATTTGGGAAGTGACATGTTCACGGAGGGTTGGAAGTAGAGCAGTAATGTGCCAGGGTAGAGAGGGTACACTTAAATACTTTGAAGGGAGATTTGAGGAGCAACTAAAGAGGCTGACCAATGTTTTTGTTAGCTTCAAATGTTTGAATTAGGGATGTAAAGGTTATGCAGAACAGATAGGAAAATGGAATTGAGGCCAAGGCCAGATCTGCCTTGATCTATTGAATGGCAGAGCAGGCTTGAAGAGAGACATAGCCTATTCTATGTTCTCTTTTCCATTAACTCTAACTCTTTCTTTCTATGGGTGAGTACTCTCCCATTTACTTTGAGTAGAGCTTAAGAATAAACAATTTATCAACCTACATAAATTTTCCAAAATTATACACAAGAAGCTGTTTCTGAAGATTGGGTAATTAACAATTGTGCTCTATCTAAAAAAATGCAAATTTAAAGAGGAATTATATACTAATTAGCAGTAGACTGTTTGTTTAAATTTTATTCAGTGTTTGAGCAGATTGCATCCTTACTGGCGTACCCTACTTATTAGCAAAATAAAACTGGATTATGAAATTAAACATAAGCTCAGATAGCTAACATTTCTAAAAATGCATCAAATATTGTAGAGATTTTTGAGAAACAAAGAATAAAGGTTTGTAATGGATATGGTTTGTGGATTTTAATTGAGACGCATTTAGAATTCAGCATTCTAACTTCTGGATTATTTCCATTGACAATAATGTATTAAAACAAATTTGGCCAGAATTCTTCGTAAATTCAAGTCATTCCTTAACAGCTGCATAGCTATAAAAGGCAATAATAATGTTACAGTAAAGGGCATAGATTTCCAAAATCCTATTTCAAATACTTTATTAAAAAATGTGAAGGATAAGATAAATGGTATCTTTTCCCCTCATTTGTATGGCTATCTCAAATTTGTATTCCACTAATCACAATTTTGGATGGTTCAGATATAGAATTTATTAATGCTTTCTCCAGAAATTATCACAGAATAAACGTGCTGAATGTTTCTATGATGCAAGATTGACAACCTCTATAGTATTATCGATGAATCACATGCTTTAAGCTAATGAAAATATCTACTTCAGTCTTAAGAACTTTAAGAATTTTACTTGGGCATAAAACTCTGCCTGGGCACAGGTGTTTCTATTTTAAAAACGAGGCATCCTCCAATACATGAAAATTAATGGCTTTGCCTTTGTCTTTTAAGGTATGATGGCTTTCAAAAATCTCGAGACACTAAGCAGCAGAGTGGAGTCATTAAGGCTGGACAGAGAGTTACCTTGGCATAAGTGAAAAACCCTAAAAGGAAATTAAAGTCAAATATGTAAAATAAATCAAAGCTGTTGCATAGCTTGTACAATCTTTTTATTTGATTCAAAAATATATAATGGCTTCTAGTCCAATTTAGACAATGTTAATCTTAACATTTTACAGTATTTCAATTATATTCAACTGTGAATAACTAAATCCACCATATTGCTTTAGTGTAAAATATGTACTTTTTAAAGGACTAATTCAAATTGATTGTACTTTTATTTAAAAATAAATGCTTTCATTTTACTGTCTGTCATTTAAATTGAAATATTCACCAGAGCAAATTGTCAGTTTGCATTCATAATCTTGGATACAGCAGACTCCAATGACAGTGGTAAGGGAATAGCTTTACAGAAATCACTTAAAATTTCATGAGATAGTCCATGTTTATCCTTTCATAAGCTGTTTAAATATGGCCCAGCAGTCAGTGCTGCCAATCCAAAAAATGTTATTTATAAGAGTCTAATATGAAATCAACCTTGGAATACTTCATTTCAAGTCTGGAATTCTCAAATGTTGCTGAGAAGCAACAGGCCCAGGGAATCTCAAATGCTTTACAGTACTATGAATACCTCCAAGTCACCTTCAAAGAAATTAGAACCATTTCACTCAATCAAAGCTATAAATATTGTGCTGGAACTAATCTTGTGTATAATTATTTTATTCATTTGTCCTATACAGACATTTCTTCTGTTGCTGTCAGCCCTGGTTCAGAACCGCATAAAAATACCTTATTTTCTGCTATTCTCTGAAACTCCACTGAAATAATGTGTTTTATTTTTTTCTGGATAAGTTTCACACATTTATAAGGACATACTGTCATTTCAATAGTCTTACTGAAAATGTTATAATTTAGTATAGAATAAGATTCTGTTTTAGCAGAACTTATTTAGTGTAACAAAATAGCAGTACAACTGAGGATTTTTGGTACTAACGATGTGAACTGGATCTAGTTCCCTGGAATTTCGGCTAGGTTGCCTCCTGCCTCTTCCTTCATCACCACCACAACAATTCACCAACAGGTGAATTTCAAAAGTTGTAAATGTCAGAATTCTCCAAGGGTTACTGCATTTGAATGCTGCAGAATGCAACTCGAAGGATTCCAATGCTGACTAAATAAAAGTGAACAAAAACTTGACCAACTTAAGTGGTCAGCTGAATTGCCAACTATGTCCAAAGCTACAACTCAGTGTGTTTGTCTTTTATTATTGCCCTCCTATCCTTGGGAGTTGTCCAAGAAAGATTTGGTGAACAAAGACTGGATAAAAACTATTACACTGACATTAAATGAAGGTTCATGTGACTGGTTTACTGAAGTCTTAACTTGCTTAAACCAATTGTAAAGTTGTTATAGTCCCAGCGAACCATAGGGCTGCGCTCTCATTAGAAAAACAACTGGTGGTGAGTTTAACTGGAGGGTTACCACACCTCAGAGGGGCAAGACTTTGCATGACAACCTAGTCAACTTGGTCTAAATCCACCCCCAACTGCAGAAATTCTAACATAACTATACTATGTAAAATGAAGCAGCTGCAATTTATATACTGCAACTTCAGGGCAGCCCGTAGCACCTCTCACAAAACAAGCTATTGTAGAGACATGGCTACATTGTAGAAAGCTCTCAGGACTTATAATGAAGTAAATGTCCTGGTAATCTGTTCCATTGATGTTAGTTTCCCTGCTTTTCCTCTTTTCTTTTCATCAGTCCCATTCACCCAACTTCTTCAGAAATGTTCATGGTCGATGTCTGATTTATCAGGCTGCCTACTGGCTCAAACTAGCATTACTTACACTGTACATCAACACTTCAGAAAATCATTTTAATTCTTGTGTATTTCCCAGGGTCTTGCAGAGGATATTTAAGTTCACCATACTTAAGTCAAATTAAGTCAGAGCCAATTTAGAGATTTCCTTAACTAAAATAAAAATGAAACTGTTGACTTTTCAGACAGATACAGCAGCATCACGTTTTTATTTAAAAAAAATTGATACCAGCTTTTCAGATTTTTACAAAAAATAAACAAATTTCCAAAATGAACAGTGAGAGCTTTGTGGAATTCAGTAACCTATCACCAATCTTGTACACTCATTCATTCACTACTGAGCAGTCCATGGTTTCCCTCCAGGATTGTCATCCTTTTGATTTTGTAACTGAAATGGAATATTAGATTTTGCAGCATCACCTCTCTGCTGTAGAGAACCTCAGACTGGCATTGCTATTCCTCCCTCAAAACTTCGGAACCACATCTGTTGTTAACAATATTATTCCATTAAAAATTACACATCCACAATTTATTTTCCTATACTTTTCATGCAGTGTAGTGTATAAATACTTGGCTGTTTGGCAGTCTCTTTCAGATTATTCTTGTTTTGACTTACTTATTCTTTATAAATTTCTTGGTTCTCTTTTACCTTTCCTTATATACCTTGACTTTTCTATTCCCTACCATTATCATTTAAACCTTCAGTCACAGCAATGGTTACTCACCCAGTGAGGGCACAAGGCCAGAGTTTCTCAGATTAACTTGTATACTCTGTACAAAATAATATTTCACTAGAACTGATACTTATAGCCCAGAAACATGAATTACTTTCTCTTTTGTCATCTCCTTTATTTTCATAAAGAATATATCACGCATAGTCTAAAGATCAACTGCTTGAGCAGTATTTTCATATTACTGAAGCCCTGCAAAGCAATTTCTATGGGTGATAGTGTCTCAATGGTTAGCACTGCTACCTGTCAGTGCCAGGGACCCAGGTTCGATTCCACCCTCTGGCAACTGTCTGCATGGAGTTTGTACATTCTCCCCATGTCTGTGTGGGTTTCCTTCGGGTACTGCAGTTTCCCCAGACAGTCCAAAGATGTGCAGGTTAGGTGGCTGTGCTAAATTGTCCTATTGTCCAGGGACGTACAGGCAGGTGTGCTGGGGGTGGGGGTGGCCCTTCAGAGGATTGGTGTGGACTCAATCAGTCAAATAGCTTGCTTACACAGTGTTAGGATTCAATGGATTGTTTTTTGTTCACAGCCTTCATTTTAAACAATTGCAATCTATTCTTGTTTCCTCTCCAAAATTGTTTGCACTGTTAACCTTCACTCATATCCTTACAAGCAGAGGGCCTGAATGAACCCAATGAATGAGATTTCTGAAGGTAAATATAATAAAACCCAATATGAGCTTCAATTTAACTACATACATGTCAACAACCTCAATTTCTTTGTCTTTTATTCTCTTTGCAGCAGAGGACCATCGTTATAGCTCAGTTAACAAGTTATGTTGTTTTTAGTGTCATGGGGAAATAATGTGGTAAATGTCCAAGTTCATCTAAATCATACCCAGGATGGGACAGGGCAAAGAATGAGAAACATACAAACACCAAGACAGGAAGCAACCTCAAAATATAAAAAAAAAACTTTACAATTTAAAAGTAGATTGACAATACGCCACAACACGGAACAAACTCATCAATAACAATCACTAGCACAATTCATTAAAATATTTTGTCAAAGTAACTAGCTAAAATTATTATCTCAAACATATTATTATGCTTAATAGCACAACTAAATCAAATCAAACAAAATACAAATACTGGAATTTTTGAAATACTAAAATATTTATCTGTGTAAACTTTGTTGGAAGAGTGAAAGCTTTCCATTTCCTCGTTTCACTTGCTTCCATGTTTCATGTTAAATATCTAAAGATCTAACAATAGGCAATAAGTTACTTAACAGTTCTAGAAGCAACAGAGAATGTAAAAAAGGTTTCATTTTATAACAAATCCCATAGTTGCAAAACCTTTTTAAAAAAGTCAGCAGGAATAATCCGATCTGGCAAAGGAATTTGGAAGAAAACTATAAATATTGAGGGCAACCAGTGGAGCCGAGAGATGGTTGAATAACCACCTTAAATTGATTATTGGGATGAATGTGCTGCTTTGCCTTCATTTCAGTGGAGTTGTACACAGAGTCAATGGAGAACAGATAAAGCTACAGTCTATTCCATTCAAGTGTGTAATATTTTGGAAGCTCAATTTAGTTTCAATTAACAAGCAATAAGGAAACTAGAAAAAATAGTTTAAAAGCATACACCACTAGAAAGGGAGATGTGGGTCGGTAATGTGTTCTGACTGAGGAAAATGAATTTTAAAAATCAGCTCAAATCACATTCTATGGAAAAGCAGCTGTAGAATCCATCTTTGCAATAAAATAATTCCAGCCTTCCAGCAACATTAAAGGATGTCAAAATCAACACGTGAAAGTGAAGAATTAAGATTCAACTCACAATCTGACTTAAAACAACTACTGGAGATGAATTAAAAGAACAGAGTTTGGTGGGCAGATAGTCAAGATTTTAAAACAAGTCTTTCCAATGCCCCATGTCAGACAAAGGGGTTGGTGGGTGAGCGGAGTAGTAATAACACAAGTAACTTAAACACTGCTGGGGAGTGGCAAGCCCTAGTTTTAATTCTGCAAGGTCACAATTAACCAACTCTCTCATTACATTGATGATGATCCTGGGCTGTAACTGTCAAACTAATTATAGGAATTAAGAAGCTTAATGTACATGTGGGAAGGAACGAAGACCTGTATTCAAATCTCTCATATGATTTCTACTTCATCCCAGGCAAGTTATCAAAAATAATCCTATTAATCAGGTAAATGCCACAGATCTAAGTTAATAAGAGAAACTAAGAGGTATGCTAGGAACCCACCCAGGAATGATGTTAATCTATACAGAGTAGTGCTTTGATGTGATTGTGAGAATGTCAACACACTCTTAACCAGCACAAGACTTTCTTGCAAAGCATTATGGGACATTTTAATATATTAAAAGTATTATATAAATGCACACTGTTGTTGGGATAAGGTAAGTAAAGATGATTTGCAAACTGCCAGTCTGCCATGGTATACTTGAGGATTAGTACCAGGATCAAGGATTACGTGGAGAAGGCAGGAAAATATAATGGAGACATATATTAGCCACAATCGAAGGGTATTGCCGACTCAATGGGCCAAATGGCTTAAATTTGCTCCTATATCTTAAAGTCTTAGGGATGAACTAGTGTACCTGTTTTGATTATTTTCACAGCAGGAGTTACCCAACACACAACTTAAAGCTGAATGATGCAGTGCAAAGCTGAAGGTAGTTAACCTGGAATGTTTAAAAAAAAATCCAGATTGTCAGGGGCCCCATCCTGCCATCAGGTTTACACAAATCTATAATGGCATTATAGACTTTAGGAATAGACTAGAGCTATGTGTTATGCCCTTTCATTAACACAGTTTCGTTACATTAAACTGAAGACCTCATCCCACCATTCTGTAACCAATGCAGAAACAATATATTATACATCAAGCTGGTGCAAAGCTTCACTTAACCGAATCTCCACTGTACAAGTTAACAAATAACTTTGTGGCTATTTACAGCTTTGGAATCTGAAAAAAATCTTTACCTTGCATCAAAATCCTTAGAACTTGGATACACATCTGTAAACTAGGCATTTGAAGGCAAAAATGAAAAAAGGTTTTTCTTGCAACTTATTTTCCTTCACTTGATATGTATGGATACAAAGATCATTTGTAAAAAGTTAGAAAAATTAAAATAAATTACATTTATAAGAACACTTTTCCTTCAGTTATTTATATAAAAAGCCAAAATAGTGTACTATAGACAGAACCTACAAAGAATATAAAGGCATCTGATAAAACAGACTTTCTGCCTTTGCATCTGATGTCTTCTGCCACATCGCTATCCAAATTTCTACTTATTCACAGACCGAAAGACGGTTTAATCTTCAATTTACTAGTATACCCAATTAACTGGGACCCACTGTGGTTCTATAAAGAGCTTCTCTATTGCAGTCTGTAACTTCTGAAAAGCTTTGTCCAAATTATCATTGATAATGGTCAAATCAAAGTAGTGGCTGTATGCTCGTTGAATTCGAGCACTTTCATCAACTGTCTTTTTCAAGTCTGTATCCTGCAGACAAATAAATAGAAAATTGATGTACAGAGAATGAGACATTTACATGCAAGTATTTTAACTGAGTTAAGGCTGTGCATTAGAATTAATAGGAAGAAAAACAGAGAATATGAACTATGTTGAAGACAACCATGGAAACACAAGGCCACAAAAACAAGACCAGAACCATAGGAGGGGAAAATGATGAAGAAAATAAATGGAGACAAGGACAGCAGATGAAGGAAACACGAGTTCACAACTCAATGAATGTTTAAAGTTTGTTAGTGAGTAATAAGTTAACACAAAGCACCATATTGCTCTATTATCAATATTACTCCATAATGGATTAAGCGTAATTAGAAGATCAACAAACAGTATTTTCTGCCTTAGCGAAAAAAGTGAAAATTCAAGGACTCTTACAGTCAGAAGTTTAGTTGAAATTCCAGCATCAATGACAGCTTTGTGCATGGCACGTAATGTTTCTAATTCAGGAGCAGCAACAAACACAATATACGGCATAAATTCAGCTGTCTTTAATATCTTCAGTGCCTGTAAGACATTGACATTGAGGAAGGATGGCAGGATATAAATATTAGAAACATACCAAATGTTAACTTAATAAAGCATGGTTTACCAGAATTTACTTCAACATCCCTGCACTATGAAACGTCAGCTTTCCTGCTCCTATGATGCTACCTGGCCTGCTGTGTTCCTCCAGCTCCACACTGTTATCTCCGACTCCAGCATCGGCGGTTCTTACTATCTCTGATCACATATCTTATACCTTTTTATTTTCATAAAATCACCTGGTGGGCATGGGCATTGCTGTTGGCCAGCATTTATTGCCTGTCTCTAGTTGCCCTTGAGAAGGCGTTGGTGAGCTGCAGTCTCCCTGCTTTCTCAACACTACCTGCCTCTCTATCAATCATTGCCACCTGCAAACTTAGCAACAATGCCCTCAGTTCCTTCGTCCAGACCGTTAACGTAGAAAATAAATAGTTGTGGTCACAACACTGATCCCTGTGGAACTTCACAGCAGCTGCCATCCTCTAAAAAAACCCCTTTATTCCCACTCTGCTTTTTGATAGTCAACCAATCCTCTATCCAAAAGGTCTTCTAGAAATCCAAATAGATCACATCCACTGGCTCTTCTTTGTACAACGTATTCGTTACCTCCTCAGAGAATTCTAACATATTTGTTAGGCATGATCTCTCCTCGACAATGCTGTGCTGACTCAGCCTTATGTTAACATGCATTTCCAAGTACTCTGCTATGTCCTCCTGAATAATGGACTCTAAAATCTTACCAACAACTGAGGTCAGGCTAACCGGCCTGAAGTTTCCTTCCTTCTAGCCCTTCTTAAACAGAGGTGTTACATCAGCCATTTTCCAGCCTTCTGGCACCGTCCCTAACTGCAGTTAGATCACTACCAATGCCTCTACAATCCCCTCAAATATCTCCGTCAGAGCTCTGGAGTGTAGTACATGTAGTCTGGGTGATTTATCCACCTTAAGATCCTTCAACTTGCCCACCACCTTCTCTTCAGTGATGGCCACTACATTCATCTCTGCCCCCTGACTCCCTTGATGTTTTGGTGTGTGTCAGTATCTGAGATTTTACGAGTGGTACTGAACATTGCGCAAACATCGGCAAACATCCCCACTTTTCAGCTTATGATGGAGGGAATTGATGAAGCAGCTGAAGATGTTTGAGACTAGGACTCTTCCGTGAGGAACTCCTGCAGAGATGACCTGGAGCAGAGATAACTGACCTCTAATAACCATAACCATCTTCCTACATGCCAGGTATGAGCATGCTTTCAGTGCAGATTTCCTATGGAATAATTAACAAGTATTCAAAATATATAATTGGCTAAATCTGTAGGAGCATAACTATTAATCATTGTGGTTGGAGAGGAAAGGATGAATTGCTAAGCTTACGAAAGCACGGTTTGGACTGAAATGCTTTGAAAGGAACAGATACCTACTGCGGTTTTTGAATGTGGAAAATTAGTGCTACACTCATTTTGATCTTCTCAAAAATTCAAGGTCACAATTTCAAAGCTAATTGAAAAATCAATAATTTTGGGTCAGCCTGTAGCAGGAGGAATAGAACACCACAAGGAATGCCGCAGAAAGGTCGAGCTTCTAAAAGTTAAAAATGAGGTTTATATCACATGCAATTGAAATTCCCAGGTTGTACTCAGCAGGTATCTCACAATATAATTAATTTAGTTATATAAGTGTCTTATTTATTTGTGACCAGCCATATTATTCTACCTGCGGATTGATATCCAAAATGCACATTCTTCCCGTACTAACAACTTCATGGATTGAGTCGATCTTTGTCCCATAGAGATTTCCTTCATACTCTCCATGTTCCAGATATCTACTGCCCTTTATGTCCATTTCCATTTCCACCCTTGACACAAATCTGTATGCATGTCCATCCAGTTCATCATCTCTTGGTTTTCTTGAAGTAACTAAAGTAAAAACACAATAAAAAACAAACATTTTAAAATGCTTTGAACAATTTTTTTCCCTAACTTCCTTTCCTGTAGCTAAGTTTTGGCATGGATCTACCTCTACTGAATGTTTTCAATAGTAAAACTCACAATACTGTATGTCCTTATACCCATTTTCTTTACCTGCCTGCAACCTTCAATAATTTACGTACAAGTAACACCAGGCCTTTCTGTTCCTACATCCCTGAGAGAAATGTACCCTTCATTTTATATTCCCTCTCCTTGTTCTTCCTGCCAAAACAGTATGACTTCATATCTCTTGAAATATTTCAAAATCAAGGGGTATTATATAAATTCAGGTTTATGTTGTTAAATTGCAACTCTTAATATAATTACAGAGAGAAAGTAGTCTTCTCATTTATTAAAAATTTAATTCTGTTGGATCACAATTCATTATAAATTCATAAGTTATTTTATCCAATCTGAAGACTTTTGTGACCATCAGTCCATTACAGTATCATACTCGCTATGTTATGAAGCCAAAATTAACTTTTCCTTCCGGTGATATGAGAGAAATAACTTAGAAAAAAAACCATGTTCTTTATGGTTAGGAAACATTCAAGATATTGAAATTTCTGTATCTGTGTAACTGTTTCCAACAGTCCTTCGGTGGATCAGCATATTGTAGCAAGAATGAAATTTCTGTGGTTCCCTAAATGTTAAAACACAAAGATTTTAACTAATTAAAATATTTACATAAGTACACAGACCAGAAAGATCCCAGTGTCAATCCATGGTCTGGAAGGGGAGGAGCTGATTAGGAGCGTCTTCATGAGCTCAGATTTAGGGAGAAAGGCTGCCTTCTCATTACCATCTGGATGAAGGCTACATTGGACAGTCTATATTTAAAGTTTATTAAATATTCTATGGAGTTCTACATCAAACAAAACAGAACTGAACTTTAAAAAAATTAATAATATATCAAATAGCAGCAGATGGGTCAGAGGCTCAGTCATTGCTAACTTTGTAATTGCAGCTAACAGATTACAGCGCAGCTCTTGGCAAAGGCTAAATCAGCTTCTATCTTAATCACTTTGTCCCACTCTTACATCTCACTTGGACAGTTCTCCAACAATATTGTCCCTGGAGACTGGCCACTGCACTTTTATCTGCAGAAGAGGGGAAGGTAGAAAGGAACAAAAAAAAACTCTCAACCAAAACCATAAATTCCTGCCAGTTGTGATTAAAAATAACTTACATGGGACTGTTGTTCCAAATCGCATGGGATTCATTACGATGAGTCTGTTCTTTAAACTCCGTCGTCCCACACCTTGAGCTCCTATTAACACGAGGGTCTTCCTCTGAAATGGTGGCATCCTTGCTACTTCCTCATAGATCATTATTTCATGTCGATCAAACTCTTGGTGTGAATCCAGTAAAAATATTAGAACTAATATTCTTCACAATCGAAAATTTTAATAACATAGAAGAAATTTTAATCAGTTGGGTTCAGCTAATCGACTAAAAGCAAAATTCAAAACAAAAAAAGTCTCAATTGCTGTGGAACTAAAGACTGAACAAAATCATTAGAGATAGTTGGGGTTTCAAGCCCTATATAAGGGGCTGAAGCGTGTAACTTAGACAAGGATATCAATGTTGCACCAAGGGAGTACTGCACTGCCAGAGGTACTACCCTTTTGATTAAAATTAGGACCTCTCTGCTGCACAGACTCCATTACAGAATTAAAACTACATTGATCCAGCCTTTTCTTCTAACTGAATTCTCTGATGGAAGACTAATCTTGGGGTTTTGCTCAAAATTGCCTTAGAGACCTAAATGTTTAAGACAAGATATAGGAGGAGAATTAGGCCATTTGGCATACTAAGTCAGCTCTGCCATTCAGTCATGGCTGGTATGTTTCTCAACCCCATTCTCTTACCTTCCCGTAACCCTTGACACCCTTACTAATCAAGAACCTATCTGTTGTAAATACATTCAATGACGTGGCTGCCACAGCCTTCTGCAGCAATGAGTTCCACAGATTCACCACCCTCTGCCTGAAGAAATTCCTCACCTCTGTTCTAAAAGGCCGTTGCTTCACTCGGAGGCTGTGCCCTTCGGTCCTAAGCTTCTCCTACTAGTGGAAGCATCTTCTCCACAACCACTCTGTTTTTTGTAAGTTTCACTAAGATGCCCCCACTTTATCCTTCCAAACTCCAAGTACAGACTCTGAGTCCTCAACTGCTCCTCAAATGACTAGGCCTTCGTCCCCAGGATCATTCTTGTAACCACCTCTGGACCCACTCTAAGGCCAGCACAAAAACAAAGTCAGCATGGATTAAATGTTGTTCATCAAGCAGCTATTATTCTAAACTAAAGAAACATTAATCCTCATTATTATGTTAACATTAAATACAGGGCCCAAAACTGCTCACAGTATTCCAAATGTGGTCACTGAACTTCAACTTCTGTCTGAGATGATCTGAAGTGGCAGACTTGGTACTGTGGCAGTAAACTCGCAGTAATCAGAAGATTCTGTATTCAAACTGCATACAGATATGTTAGAAAATATCTCAGTGCAGTACTGAGGAAGTGCTGCTTCATCAGATTGCAAAAGATCACACAGCAGCTTTGAAAGTTTAACAGGAATGATCGCCTAGTCTCCTGCTCAATATTTATCCCTCAAACAAAACCACTGAAATTAAAGGCCAGTTTTCTTTAATTGCTCTTTGTGGGACTTGAGTGGATACTGGTTGCCACGTTTCCTTACATTACCACTGACTACAATCCCAAAGTGTAAGAAATGATGACACTTAATAAGTGGTATTTTTGAGAACAGTATAGAATTCCTATGTAGTTTGTTGGAACCACAGTGATGTTTCCTCTCACGGAAAGAACAGAGGGCTCGGTGTCAGGAAGGGGGACGAGGGATGAGGGGAGAGGGCAGCACAAGAGCAAGGGCACAGGAAACGGAGAAGTGATAAAACAGGAGAAAGATCTGGCAGAGACAAAAGGCTACGACTTGTGTGGTGGTACTGAAGGTTAAGTCCCCTGTAAGCTGTTAGACAGGCCACAGGAGGGAGGACTTTCCCTGCTTAAAGAGGTTCAACCATGGGAATCTCAAGACCCTGGAAAATTTCCCCTGCCAAATCCAGAAACAGAGAGAACTGGAGCATGCCTAACTGCTGATAATCAGCTTGGGATTTCTCCAAAAACCAAGGGAGAGAACCTTCAAGTAATCACTCAACATTACAATGCAGGGAGAAATACACATGTTGTAGGATTATTGATCATGTCTAACACATTAATGAGGATTACTGTTTCTTTAGTTTAGAATAATAACTGCTTGATGACCAATATTTAATCCATGCTGACTTTGTTTTTGTTAAATCATAAAATTAAAAACTTGCGGGTCAACATTTTGAAGTTGATCATGGGGAAGTCAAATCCTTTATTTAGAGTTATCAGTCTGTATGGGGATTGTAATGACCAACACAAGTTAAATGCAAATTAACAGACAAATCAGTCAAAATAAATTATAAATTACACATGAAACAGTAGATACAAAGACGAGGTCAGAGTTGGTAGGAAGAGCAGAGTGCTTGAATGGTCTTAGTTTCAGCCACACATCTTCCAAGCAGAATTATAGTCCCTGTCGTGAGTAAAGACGTGAACAGCAGAGTTCTGGGTGACCTCAGTTTTGCAGAGGGTGGGAAATTAGTCAGCAATTCATTGGAGTAGTCATGTCTAGAGGTAATAAAGGCATGAGTGAGGACTTAGGCAGCAGATAAGCTAAGGCAAGTGAAGTTGAATAAAATAAGTGGTGATAATGATGCCTCGGATATCGGGTTGGAAGTTCATCTCTGGGTCAGGTATGATAGCAAGGTTGTAAACAGTGTGCTTTCATTTCAGACAATTGCTGGGGAGACTGAGTTGGTAGCCAAGGAACAGCATTTTGTGATGGGGCTGAAGACGACAATATCGACAACATCAGTCTTCCCAATCTGTAAATGTCAGAAATTTCTGTTCATTTGGTACCGTGTGAGAGATGAGCAACAGTGAAGGAGTCAAGAACTGGGTATTGTCAGCATACATGTGAAAATTCAGTATTTTCAGACAAGCTGATGGAGGTGCAACATTTAGTTCAGAAACAGAAGTTCAAAAGTAGATCCTTGGCTCACCAGAAGTAACAGTGCAGAGGAGCAATCACTTCAAATGGTACTGTAGCTAAAGTGTAGTAGTCACAACAACAACAAAAACAAAGTTGCTGGAAAAGCTCAGCAGGTCTGGCAGCATCTGTGAAGGAGAAAACAGAGTTAACGTTTCGGGTCCGGTGGCCCTTCCTCAAAACTGATGGTGGCTGGGAAAATGTCAGTTTATATGCAGAAAATAGGGAGGTGGGTGGGGTCAGGAGTAAACGACAGGATAGACCCCAAAGAGAGAGAAAGACAGTTGGACATAGGAGTTGCTAACGGTCAGGCTGGGAGGGTGAGCTGTTGTTAATGGGGACTGTCAGTGACTAACGACAGAGGGTGTGTAATGGCAGGCTATGTGGTAACAAGTGTAGTAGTGTTTGACTCAGAAGCAGTAACAGTAAGGAAAATTTGTAATTACTATAAACTCTCTGGGGAATCTCTAATCATTTTTTAAAAAAATCTTTGTAATGGTTTGTAAAGGGTTAGAATCAATTGTAAAGGGATCAGTCAACCTTTTCGGATATTGAGATGTAATGGTCCACGGGACATTGATTCTTGATGTAGAAGTAGTACCGATGTGACAGATATTAATATGTGGGAGCCATGTGGCAACTGGACATGAATGGAGTAAGGCAAGAGTTAAGAGAGAAAAAGAGATGGTCAACAAGCCAAGCTGGAGAGTGGATTTGTGTGTGGTTGAAAGCATTTTTAGAACTGTTACTGCTGTTTCTTTCACTTCCAAATAATGGAACACCCAAAAACAGATGTACAATGAGAAAGTAAAGGCAGTTTTGAAGAATCTATATTACTTGACAGACCGGAGCTGAGGAAGTTCTGGGAAAAAAGTGCACCTGTAGGGAAGACTGCATGGCCAGAGCCCTGTTTACATCGAAGTTACAATTTTATTCACAATTAACATGCCCCTTTTATCCTGCTGCTACAGGGTTGATGCAAGAGCGCAGCTGCTTTTCATTTAACTCAACATGATTGAGGATTTACAGACCAAATGTGAATGGGTACTTAATCTAACATCAAGTCTTCCTTCTCCATAAAGGGCGTTATCGTTTCCACATAACACTATCTTCCTAAGCTAAAGGCACAGTGAAACTCCACCAGAACCATCGCTAAACCATATACCATCAATTAACAAGAAGAACTGACAACATACTTGAGGGAACTAATGACTGGAAATTTTAGCCTCAAAAGATCACTGGGAAGGGAGGTGAGCAAAAGAGGAGAAATTCAAATAAACACGTGCACGCAAAACCTAGAGATTTCTGAATGACTTCCTATCTTAAAAATAAATAAAGATGATTAAATGAAGGTGGTCCTTTGATGTATAAACAAATGAGATGAACTTTGCTGCAGTCAGTTGACTGGATGTCCATCCACCAAGTTCTCTTTCAGATCAGGTCTAAATATGGTGCTTAGTGCTAGAAGGAAATTCACTGTTTAGAAATAAAACTAAACAGCTTCCACTCTGTGACGCGTGGAGTTATAGCCGAGCCAACCACAACATAATATGGGATCTATCCTTCTAGGAGTACATAATATTGTATCCTTAAGGGAGAGGACGCATCAGCACATTATATGAACATTCACTGACAGGTATTTGCATACTTTCAATTTCCATTTCAATAGCTGTTTATTATGTTATTATTAGCTATTGTTAATATTTACTATACAGATAATATTCAATTTTAGTCTGGATTATTGATGCCATCAATTTATCAAATATTGAAGATTAATTGCTCTTCTGCAGTCTGATTTAGTCGTGTCCAAACACCTAACAGTCCATCCTCACTTTATCACAAATCTAAGCACTACCCATTTGTCCAAGTACCCACAAACTCCCAGGATTCATCCTAAATTGCTCTGAATTCCACACCTCATGTCTCTTCCATCCTTACTAAGTTCATAACAGCTATTCACTCGCTTCCTCACTTCTAGCAATTGCCATTACCTTTTGTACTTTTACCTTTATTTGATTCTAGTGAACTGAAAAACTTCTGGCTAAAATCCTTTAGCAGCCCGCCTTTACAGGCATCCCAAGCTAGGGCACTGAACCACACTGCGGTGTCTCACACTCTTAGCTCCATTTACACGAAAGACTATTGGTGAAGCATTCACTCTTCTCAGCCTCACACTATAACTTGCTCGCTTGCTAAATCACCTTGGCTTTAAAAGCTTCATCAAATGTCATTGTTTTCATCACCACCGCAAGTATTGCTATCATTTGTAAAAACCGAAAGAGCTGCAGATGTCGTAAATCTGAATCAAAAACAGAAGTGGCCAGAGGAAGGGTCACTGGACATGAAACGTTAACTCTGAATTTCTCTCCACAGATGCTGCCAGAGCTGCTGAGCTTTTCCAGCAAGTTCTCTTTTTGCTTACTGCCATTTGCATTTGCTTATACATGCAGTTTCCAAATGGATGTCTCAGAAACATCCAACGGCATCAAACTGGCTTATGAAACTAGCTACATTAGTTATAATAATTTAAACCAATTGAAATACCAACCAGAAAAGGTAGATCAGAGTTTTTCATCCGAGTGAAAAGCAGTAAACCTTTTAAAAAGACTTCTTACCTGCATTTTTGGTTGTCAGGTACATCATTTTTTTCTTCTTTTTACCAATTATTGTGCCACAAAATGGTCCTGATCAAAGAACAAAACAGAACTTGAAGTGACGCTTTTGCTATCCCATTCACAAGTGCCTGTAAATAAGCTATGCCAACTTAAAAACATTAACCAGCTTACCTGATGAACCTGAAAGATCCCAATCCCGTTTAACAAAAGCTTTCCTCTTCTCTTCTAACATTTGACTGGGAATTAGACCTGCATTTCCTCCTCCCTTCATTTGATAGGCCTGAAATTAAACACAACTACTCCAATTATCTCTCAAAAGTCATGACATTTGCTTGAGTATAATTTATTCTCAGGAGAAGATAGTCTTTCTTATCTGAGTGCATCTTTTATTGCTTTACACTGGTACTTGGAGTTATGAAACATATTCATTCATTTTCAATTAGTTATTTATCTTGAAAGGTCAGGCCTTATCCAGGGTTGCAAACATGATATACAGCAGGGAAACAGACACTTCAGTCCAACTCGTCCATGCCGACCAGATATCCTAAATTAATCTAGTCCCATTTGTCAGCATTCGGCCCATATCCCTGTAAACCTTTCCTGTTCATATACCCATAAAAATGCCTTTTAAATGTTGTAATTGTAACAGCATCCACCACTTCCTCTAGCAAACTCAGTCAATACATGCACCACCTTCTGCATGAAGAAGTTGCCCCTCAGGCCCCTTTTAAATCTTTCCCCCCTCACCTTAAGCCCTCTCATTTTGGACTCCACTACTCTGGGGAAAAGACGTTGGCTATTCACCTTATCTATGCCCCTCATGATTTTATAAACTTCTATAAAAGGTCACCCCTCAACCTCTGAAGCTCGAGGGAAAATAGCTCCAGCCTAATCAGACTCTCCCTATAGCTCAAACCCTCCAACCCTGGCAACATCCTTGTAAATCTTTTCTGAACCATTTCAAGTTTCACAACATCCATCCTATAGCAGGGAGGCCAGAACTGAACACAGTATTCCAAAAGTGGCCTAACCAGCGTCCTGCACAGCCGCAACATGACCTCCCAACTCCTATACTCAACACGCTGACCAATAAAAGGCAAGCATACCAAATGCCTTCTTCACTATAACAGTGTGGAGCTGGATGAACACAGCAGGCCAGGCAGGATCAGAGGAGCAGGAAAGCTGACGTTTCGGTTTGGGACCCTTCTTCAAAAAATTACTATCGCCTGCTTCACTATCCTGTCTACCTGCGACCCTACTTTCAAGGAACTATGAACCTGCACTCCAAGGTCTCTTTGTTCAGCAACTTCCCCAGGATCTTACCATGAAGTGTAAGAGTCCTGCCTTGATTTGCCTTTCCAAAATGCAGCACCTCACATTTATCTAACCTAAATTCCATTTGCCACTCTTCAGCCCATCTGATCAAGGTCCCGTTGTACTGAGGTAACCTTCTTGGCTTTCCACTACACCACCAATTTTGGTGTCATCTGAAAACATACTAACCATACCTATGTTCACATACAAATCATTTACATAAATGACAAAAAGCAGTGGACCCAGCACCATTATGGTACACCACTAGTCACAGACCTCCAGTCTGAAACGCAACCCTCCACCACAACCCTCTGTTTTCTACCTTCGAGCCAGTTTTGTATTCAAGTGGCTAGTTCTCCCTGTATTCCATGTGATCTAACCTTGTTAACCAGTCTCTCACGCAGAACCTTGTCAAACACCTTAGTGAAGTCTGTATAGATCACGTCCACCATTCTGTCCTCAATCTTCTTTGTTACTTCTTCAAAAAAACTCAATTCACTAGTGATCTTAACTACTGTGTTGATGACAATTAAAACAGTCCTGTTTAACAGTCCTGTAAATCACCTTTCATTGCCTTTTGATCAGATCTAGCCAGGAGTTATTTTATACAAGCTGCTGGACGTCCCAGTCCCAAAAGCTGTGCTTTCTGCAATCTCGTATATTTTCAATTTAATCTATCAGATCTGTAATTGATGGCTCATCTGGTGATTCATTTTCCATTAACTCATGTCTTCTTGAGGATGTCCTCTCTTCCATACTGCACTTCCCTCATAATGGTTTGTTAGTCATCACTCAGTCCTATCAACTTTTCCAGTCTCACTGTACTCTCCATTCTACAGCTTTCAGATTATAACCTTTGGTTAGGGAGATTTATAGGTTGCTTCATAAGGATTAGCTAGAAACATGCAGTAATTTTGCATCATATGAAGGTTATTGATTGTCAAGTGGTTTTGCTAAAAGTTTGTTTTGATTACTTCATTCATTTATCTACTACAGCACAAAAATAAAATGTCAATAAGCAGTGCACATTTTCAGCACAAACAGCTTAAACCAGCATTAACCTTAAAGAGGCTAGAATTTGAATAAAACAGATAAGAATTGCACTTAATGCGTAAAGAGGCACACACACAATACAGATTCCTAAACAAAATCTCCTAATTCCCTCAACTGTTTCTTCACTGAAGTTTGGTTTAGAACCTTTAACTATAGACAGATGCTAACATTTGTCCAGCATCCTTATCAACTTCCCTGATGTCAAAACATTTTACAGACATCTAGTTGGATTTGGAGTGCAGGGTCTTGTGAAGATTAACCTAACAGCCACACCGGAAAAGTGGATCCATCAGGATAGATCAACAAAGAAAAAAAAAAAAAACTTATTTGGGAGGGAGAGATTTGGGAAGGTAGCAAGTTGGGGCAGGGAGGGAGGACAGGACTATAGGGAGTGGTAGCTAGACCAACTGTGACAAAGTTGCAGAGAGTGTAGGAATTCAGCGGTCATGTTGTGGTTAGGCCACTTTTGGAATACTGCATTCAATTCTGGTCTCCCGCCTAGAGGAAGCATGTCGTGAAATCTGAAAAAGGTTCAGAAAAGACTTACAAAGACATTGCCAGGGTTGGAGGGTTTGAGTTACGGAGAGAGGCTGAATAGGCTGAGGCTCTTTTTCCTGGAGCATTGGAGGCTGAAGGATGATCTTAATACAGGTTTATGAAATCTGAGGGGTGGAGATAGGGTGAACAGCCAAGGTCTTTTCCTCAGGGTAGCGGAGTCCAAAACGAGAGGGCATAGGTTTAGGGTGAGAGGGGAAAGATTTAAAATGGATTTAAGGGGCAACTTCTTCATGCAGAGGGTTGTGCATGTATGGAATGAGTTGCCAGAGGAAGTGGTGGAGACTGCTACAATTACAACATTTAAAAGGCATCTGGATGGGTATATGAACAGGAAGGGTTTAAGAGGAATATGGGGCCACATGCTAGCAAATGGGACTAGATTAATTTAGGATATCTGATAGAACAGACTAGTTGGACTGAAGGGTCTGTTTTGATGCTGGACAGATCTAGGACTCTATAGCTGAGGGGGGCTTTTTAAAATCACTTCCTTTGGCACTCCATAACCCTTGCGGTCAACTCTAAACTGCATTCAGGACAATGGGTGCAAATCGCTCACATCCTCAAAGCCAAATCAAAGATCATGCTTGTCGGGACATATTGCCCCTTGGCAAGTGAACTGAGTCAGGAAACATCATGATTCAAGTCTCCTCTCTTGATGGAGGAGATCCAAGACATTAACTCTACATTTTTGCCTGGCTACAGTGTTTCCAGAATTTTGTGTTTCAGTTTCAGGAATCAGCAAGTTGCTTTCCAAGTTGAAGTCTTCTGCCTTTCTTGGGGAGACTCAGCACAGGAATGCCACTCAGGAATGGCTTGAAGTAATAGCAATTGCTGCAGACACATAAATGCACGAGAAAATTCTCAAACTCTCTGTATAAGAAAATCTTTAAATTATATGAGAAGTTTTAATTAGTAAGAAATAACTTCCCTGCTACTGAAAATTAGCTTCTACAAATATAGTTTCACTCGTTTACAGGAAAAGTCTTTGTCTCCTATCTTTTCTTTCTCTCTCGCTATTACATCCACTATTCATGATTTGACACAGAATCAAGTTCTGTAATTAATATTAATTCAGTTTGCACTCATCATGAACAATTCTTTAATCTGAATGGATAAAGAAATAGTTGTTTGCATTGTTCTCACGGGCCCCAGATGGTTTTCCAATTGCACTAAATTCCAGTGAATATAAAGTCTGTGGATACACCACTAATGGGTCTCCAAGACCAATTAATATACAGCTTTGTACTACCCTAATTATTACAATAATTATAGCTGCTTTTGATTAAAACATCAAAAATTGTCATATCCAACAGAATATCTGCACTGAAAAACTGGAGGCCTTATCAGTAAACAGTAGCTCCAAGGTTATTGTGTTGTTTACATGATTCAGGTAAAGAAAGGGGAGAGAAGGAGATACATTTTGCAAGATATAAAAATACCCTATTTTAAAACAAATTACATTGTCATCAGGCAGGAATGAGACAAGAGCCATATAACAGGTACATTGAAGTGATGCAGAAATTAGGGGCTATGCATGGAGAAAGTTCAATGATTGGTGGATTTTTTTTTTTAACCAAAGTGAACTAAAAAGGATCCAACGAAGATTTTCAAGATTATGAAAAGTTCATTTGTTCCTATATTTTGTGGATCAGTAACAAAGAAAAAGTATCAGAAGACCAAAAGACAAAGTCAGGAAAATTCTTGCAGTAGATGATCGTGAAACATGAAATGTTCTACCACAGATGGCTACTGAGGCAAAGCCTACAGCATAATGTAAAATAAATTATATATGGATTTGAAAGCAATTATACAGGATTACAGAAGAAATAATTCCAGCAGCTAACTCCTACTGAAGATCTAGAACCAGTATAGATCCATTTAGATTGAATTTATTATTAATAACAAGACATAAAAACAGACTCTAAGGGTACACAACAGGAAGGATACTTGATGAACTGTGCTCTCAAAAGAACTTTGACAGAAGTAGAGTGTGTCATGAACAATGTGAATCACACCCTGTCTTAGTTTCACTGTTGGACCATTCAGGGAAAAGGCTACAATTTCTCAGACAGGACAAACTGGTTCCTAAACTCATTTGTCCTTCTCCATGAAAATGTTTAGCAAGAGTTGACACATGAATGAGGATATGTACAAGGTGGACTCGCTCACTGATTATACCAATTACACTGGAATAGTTTTATTATTTTTATTTTAATTATTTTGTGATAGAGAACCTCTTGTTCTATGCTGTCATTATTTACTTATATGGAATTTTTAAATATCTGAACAATGTACCCAAAATGAATTTCCAAATGGAATTTTTGATACAGACAATAAAGTGAGAAAGTAAAAACA